GGGGGGGTGTAGCTGATTGTCTGGAATTGATGAAAGAAATATTATGATTTGCAAAGTATCTGAAACAGGAATATAGATATTTAAGTGTAAGGCCCCCCCTCTCCCTTCCCATAATTTACTTTTTTCTCTCGTCTCATTAAAATCCATTTTACAGATCATGGCTGATGAGAGTGGAAAGAACAAGGGGTTCGGATTCGTCAGTTTTGAAGACTCCGAGGCAGCAGAAAAAGCTGTGGATGAACTTAACGGTAAGGGATCATTTTACACTTTTAAGAAGTTCACATACTGTCTCTGTATGGGAAACATTTTTGTAATTTAGTGCTTATGATCTATTTAATTTTTATGCGGCTCCTGGATCCGCTTTGAAAAAAATTGATCCGGATCCAGGTCCTGAGCAATTCTTCAAGAATTACTTATTTTTTGAACAAATAACTTCAGAAAATGTAAAATATTTATTTTTGCTTATTTTTGTGAAATTTACATGGTCATTTAGAAATTTTCCGTTATCATATAACAATCTATTGAATTTTTTGGCCCAAACCACTGGTTGTAATACAGCTATATTATTGTCTTTATTTTTTAGGTCTGGAATTCGGTGGAAAGACTCTGTACGTTGGCCGAGCACAGAAAAAGGCTGAGAGACAGCAGGAGCTGAAGAAGAAGTTTGAACTTCTCAAGTTGGAGAGATTAAACAGATATCAGGGTGTCAACCTCTACGTTAAGAACCTTGACGATACCATTGATGACGAGATTCTCCGTAAAGAGTTCAGTCCCTACGGAACCATCACCAGCGCCAAGGTTATGAGCTGCGAGGAAGGTAGAAGTAAAGGATTTGGTTTTGTTTGCTTCAGCTCCCCGGAGGAAGCTACCAAAGCCGTTACTGAGATGAACGGTCGAATTATTGTTGCCAAGCCACTGTATGTCGCCCTAGCACAGAGAAAGGAGGACCGTAAAGCTCACCTGGCCAGTCAGTATATCCAGAGGATGGCTGGTATGAGGATGCAGCAGATGGGAGGTATGGCAGGGTTCGCTCAGCAGGGTGGATACTTCATGCCTACTATGCCTCAACCTCAGAGATTTTTTACCCCAGCGCAGATGCGCGCTCAGCCTAGATGGACTGCTCAGCAGACTATGCCCCGTCCTGGACAGCCAATGGCGATGCAAGCAGCCGCCATGCCTCGTGGACCTCGCCCAGGTGGGCCTCGTCCCATGACCGGTCAACCTAGACCCTCTCAGCCAATGGGTCAACCTATGATGATGGCCCGCCCAGGACCAGGAATGCCCGCAGGCGTCCCTGGCATGGCAGGACCCCGACCAGGCCAGACCTTCAAGTACACTCCTACTGCCCGTAACCCACCTGCACCAGTGGTCGGACAGATGATGCCTTCTGGCGTTGCTCCTCCTCCACAGCAGGCGGTAATGATCCAGGGTCAGGAACCACTGACCGCTAGTATGCTTGCTGCTGCCCCACCACAGGAACAGAAGCAAATGTTGGGAGAAAGACTTTTCCCTCTTATCCAGAGGATGTATCCAGATCTTGCCGGTTAGTAGTTAAGTTTGAAGTTAGTTAATTAATCCTACATTTATTCGATATTTACGCTTGATAAATTCTAACCAACTGCACAAATGACAATTTAATTTTATTTTAGGTAAAATCACCGGTATGTTGCTTGAGATCGACAATTCAGATCTGGTTCACATGTTGGAGGATCAGAACTCCCTTAAGGGAAAGGTAAGCTTTCAAAGTTAATAGATTTTCTCCGTTTAACACGCTTTTTGCTGTATTTTGCTTTCTACCGAAACCCGTGTCTAGTTCCGGCAGAATTTCAAGGTTATCATCCCGAGTCCTTAAAGGGGTGGTTTACTGTTGATGTAAGGCAAGGAAAGATATTTCATAAGTGTACACATCTTTTGTACTGCAGTGTACTGTCTCTGGGCGCAAATGTAAACACAAGACGGATGTCGAGGCCTGACATGGGATCCATCTTTCACATACAATATCAATGAATTATTCTGGTCAAAGAAAATTATTATGTGAATTATCAAAATTTAATGCTTTTAACCGTCTCGGATGCTAAATGAACACTGATGCATCTACTGTTGTTTACAAATTCCGCTCAGAGAGAACTGGTTTCAATATGTACACAGAGTATACACAACCGCAATTGACTTTCCTTGCATTACACCCTTGGACGGAGGAAGTTAGACGATTATAGTATTTTAAAGGCAATTCATGGCCTATTTCAAAAAATAGGTATTATGTTTTCAAGTTTCGTGTTATGAAAAGAAACCATTGCCATTGCGTTCGCTTAAGGTTAACACTGTTGACTGTTAGGTGTTGCACATCTGTCTAATTTGCAATATCTAGGGTTTGCCGAGACATGATTACCCGTCGATCCCTCGGGTACGCCTACGTCAATTTCCAGCAGCCCGCCGACGGTAAGTGATTAAATTGGATTTTTAAGAGACTTCAGAATTTTAAGCGACTCGACACAATTTAACTCATTTTCTTATAGAATAGTTACTAAAAAATTAGTTACTAAAAATGTAATAACAGTTTTAACCTCTGACTGTTAAAAAATCACTTCAAGATTAACTTGCAGTAATTATCTACTCACTTAAATTATGTTATTGTTGAGAAGACTGTAGATAACGAGATATATTAAAGCGGCTAATCGAGTTCAACTGACGTAGCTCATGCTAGTTTCAGTTTCACTCTCTGAACTTGCCTTAAATTACATTTAATTCTTTTTAGCTGAGCGAGCCTTGGATACCATGAACTTCGACGTACTGAAAGGACGTCCTATCAGGATTATGTGGAGCCAACGTGACCCTTCCCTCAGGAGGTAGGTTTCTAAGTTCAACCGTTATTAAAACTAACTCTTTTAGCACGCTTCGCGCCTCCTATATAACTTAATTAAGCTTTAAAACTGATGCGCTGCATTTCCAAAAATATAGATCATCGGCATTTTTTCCAGTTTTCGTTAAAATCTGCCTTGGGGATCTGTAAGATGTCTTAAAAAGATTTGGTCAGATCGCCGATCGGTTCAGCCGTGCAGGCGTATATTTCATACCTACGGACAGACAGACGAGCAAAGTATATATATAGAATTACTATCCGCTTCAATCTTTCACACCAACAAACATTTTCCTGTTCCATTTCTTACTTACGGACAGACAGACGAGAAAAGTATATATATAGAATTACTATCCATTTCAATCATTCCTTTAACATATATATTTTTTTCCAGGTCCGGAGTTGGTAATGTGTTCATCAAGAACCTCGACAAGAGCATTGACAACAAGGCAATGTACGATACTTTCTCTGCTTTCGGAAATATTCTATCCTGCAAAGTCGCTCAAGACGCAGATGGTTCCAGCAAGGTACGTCGCAAATAAATGAAGTATTTATCGATTTTCAATTTTTCCGACAATTTGAAATATATTGATAATGGGCCAGGTTGATGTTCAGAAAATATAAATAAAATATATTGGCCAGATTGATGTTCAGAAAATATAAATAATATATATTGGCCAGGTTGATGTTCAGAAAATATAAATAATATATATTGGCCAGGTTGATGTTCAGAAAATATAAATAATATAATGCCTATACACAGGACTTAATGAATATTTTTGCTTCCTGTAAAAGTGTTTGATAAGCTTTTCACTGAATGTCTGGGAAATTTAAATAGGTTCTTATCTTGCATGTTTCAGGGATACGGGTTTGTCCATTTCGAAACTGAGGAGGCCGCCGTCAACGCTATTCAGAAAGTCAACGGTATGTTGTTGAATGACAAGAAGGTCTTTGTCGGAAGATTCGTTCCCCGCAAAGAGAGGGAGAAGGAGCTTGGAGAGAAGGCCAAGAAGTTCACCAACGTGTACGTCAAGAACTTCGGCGAGGAGCTTGGAGACGACAAGCTGAAGGATATGTTCACCAAGTTCGGAAAGATTACTTCATACAAAGTGGTAAGTCCCCCTCACCCCTCCCTGAATGCGCGTATCAGCCTGGTTCTAGTGTGTCTAGTTCCGGCAGAATTTCAAGGTTATCATCCCGAGTCCTTAACATGGAAACTGGTATTGGTATACCTTCAGGCACCAGTTTCCTTAAATATCATGGTTCAAGGTTGAATTCATGTCCTGGGCTTCAAGCTTAGATATCCATCTGTATTACAGCGGTTAAAAATTAAATGATTTCTGTTCTCACATGTTGAGAACAATATTTTGTTCCTTGGATGTGTTTATTTGTGAAAATTGGTATTAACGACAGACTAATTTAATATTTGTTAAAAGATTACGAAAGAAATTAAATGTCAGGAAGGAGGCACACAGCACAAACCCCTCAACTTTTTCTTCAGAATATGTTAATATGCAGTCTACTTAGTTATAATCTCATTTTTCCGAAAATCCAGTCTTGCATTTACAAGTCTAAAATCAAGTTTGAATTTCGTTTCTCAAGTCTTAAAAAAGGATTTACTCAAAATTCCTTTAATGGTATCTCATGAAATTGATGATACAATTAAGTTGACTGCACATGAATATATTCCAAAGAAAAAGTTTAGATGTTCTGACTTGAAACCTGAAAGTCCATTTTCAGAAGTGTGAAGAGTAAGCTATCAAAAAAAAATTAAATTTTAAAATAAGCATTTTCTGAAGCTGGTGTTTAAGCATTATATCCTACCTAGTTTATAAGAAGTAGGATTTGCAGAAGGAGTATCTAAGTATCTCTCTGTGTATCCAGTATCATAATAATTCCAAGAGGTTACTGGGGCACCAGCAACTGCTACCTTTATCAAACAATATCCAATATTAATCATTTTTATTTCTTACAGGGGGGTTACCCACAAAGGATAAGACTTAAGAGACGACTGTACGGAATTTATACCATCTGCCTTATGTTCATGATTCCTTGCAACTGCAATCTTGCTTTGATCTTCTTCAAATCATTTACTATAGCCAGGAAAAGAATGTAAAGTCTATGCAAGGCCGAAAACTTAAGTTAACCATTCAGACCTGAAAACTTTAGAATGGGATATTCTTAATTTCGATCGGATAATTAATCTGGAGATTAATAACAAGAGGAGAACAAGCATTATTTAATCTTGAGATTAAGAAAAAAAAGTGGATCAAGCGTTAATCCCGATATCCACCATTCAAAAGTTCCCAGCTCAGGTAGCCTTTACAGTCTCATCCTTTGTGGGTAATTCTGTAACTTGAACCACTTATCCTGGGTGCCTGTTGAAGTTCAAAGTTGAAGTTAAAAAATTGCAGAAAGTGATCTTCGATAAACTGCAGAGTTACCAACAAAGGATAAGACTTCAGAGACGACTGTACGGAATTTATGCATACTTTTTTCCCCTTATATTTATGATTTCCTGCAGGCTGCAATATTGTATCATTCTTTGCCAAATAATTGAATAGAATGTGAAAAGACTCTTCTTTAGACAGGAAACTTAACTTAACCTTAAAATTGTGATATTTTAAGAGTTTTACGTCGTCTTTACACTACAGTCTCATCCTTTGTGGGTAACCCTGTATTTTGAACCACTTATCCAGGGTGCCTGTTCAATGTGACAAAAAATCTAAAATATTTATGGAATATCAAAAAAAATCCGCGAAACCCTAAAAACTGAAATGTCAGTAACAATTTTTGAGAATATACTTATTCCATTCTTTTCTAAAATTTCATAAAAATTCGTAGATAATTGAATGAGATTTGACAAAAAATCCGCAAAAAATTATTCCACGAAATTTTTTATTTTTTGAGGGATTGCGCATACTTTTTGGAATTAATTTAATACCCTCTTAACAATGATGCTTCCTAAAGCTGGGAACCTGAAGTTTATGATCGCTGATTTTGGGCTTTTCGGTAAAATACCTTGAATTCCTTTGGATATTGAATAAGAGCCATGAGAGACAGATATCCACCATACGACCAACCATGGATAGCAACTCGATCCAAATCAATGTAACCTGGAAAAACTAAAATCAGATCATGCTGTTGGGGAGTCCTACTATCCACCCCCCAAACTTTAAGAATGAAGTGAGGTCTTAAAGCTTGTAACGTTTTAAAAATAAAAATATAATGTACTGTCTTTGAATTAATGATTCTTACTTAGCCATTTTAAAAAATGAAAGGTAACTCTGGCCGTTTTAATGTCTCTAATTTTGCTATTGCATTTATTTGTACAGCGTACATCCGATATATTATTACCGGACTATACTAGACAGATTCTAATCAAGAAATAAGTGATCATTGGTTGGACTCTGCCCTACTGGTTATTGATCGTCGGAAAGTTTAAATTGTTATGAGCGAATCTTTTTTGTCACATGATAGTTAGGGAGCGCTCAAATTTTGTAACTAGAGGGGTGGTACTGGTAAGGTGGTGGGTTTGAGGGGAGGAGGGAGTATATAGAGGGGGAGGAGTCTAGTAGTATATGCATATGAAGGGGGGTAGTCTAGGAATCTTGGAAAAAAAGGGGTGGGGGGTTACCTGTTATACTAGAAAGTGAATGAAAATAATTCAGCTCCAGGAAGGGGAGGGGGTGTCTAGGAGTATATGAATGGGGGAATGTCTAGGAGGCAATGAAGAGGGGGGGGGGGGTTGACCTGTTATACTAGCAAGGGAATGAAGTATCTCCAACTGATCTTGAAGTTCAACTTGACCAAGTTTACCACGAAGACAGGATTCCCAGGCAACTCCTCTTTATTAAAATCCAGTCAATTTGCTGTTCACATTTACGTCAATTCAAGTCACCCTCCAAGCTAAGATGACAATGCCCGATTAACAAAGGAACCCTTTAAACCTTAGACTATTAAACGAAGACGAAGATATTCCTTTATATATCTCACAAATATTACTGGGATGGAAGTGTAAACTCGTATACAGGTGACGTTACTAGTGCTCCGCAAAAACCCTGAATTATTTTACGTCCTAAGCCGTTTTAAAAATTCGAAAGTAAATATTTAATATTAATATTGTTATGTTAATATTCTTATAATATAAACAGGTTGCAAACAAAGTGTTTAACCTTACAACCGCTCTTGTAGATTATTAAGAAAACGTCCGACATCCTTAATGAGTAAAACGTTTAAAGGGTACTTCACTGAAATTAGTTACTCTAAAAGGAGTGACCGGCAATTTATGGTAGTTGAACTGAGAATGTAGTATTGTGGAGAAATTATTTAGAATTCATTTGAGACAAATAAACGTTTTAATGATGTATATTTACTGAGTTTGAGTGCAAAGTCGACGTTCAAAATCATCCATTTGGATGGTTACGTTTTGAGAATCGATTTTATTTAAAATTATTAAATGACGACGACGAAAAAAGTTGGAAGTAATCTTCTTCAGTTATTGGTTTCTGTAATGTCCCATTGTTCAAACAATTTCTGTAGATTTCCTGGAATTTTAACGAAAAGACGACATTTGAAGAATCTGAAGATCTGGAAACAAATTCATAAAGTATATGAAATTCAATATAATGATAAAAAAGAAATAATTGATTCTAATATTTATTTCTTGAGAAAATTTCAATTCAGAAATATTTTCCTAAACATCTAATTAGTTTACTTTATAATTTTTTTTCCTTTTTTGGTCGTCGTTTTTTAATAATTTTAAAAAAATCAATTCTCCAAATGTAACCATCCAAATGGATGATTTTGAACGTCGACTTTGCGCTCAAACTCAGTAATTATATATTATTAAAACGATTTATATATCTCAAATGAATCCTAAATAATTTCTCCACAATACTTCATTCTCAGTTCAACTACCATACATTGCCGGTCACTCCCTTTAAGTTAGATAAATTATAATGGAAGGTTGCTTATTTTCTTAAGGAGGGGTTAACAGAAAGTATGGTATTGGAATTTCAAAAAATTGATTTGTCTAAATATTCTAGATTTTGTTCCTATGTAATGAGCCCCTGTTATCTATACAAATCACAACATATCCTTGACTTGCAAGCAGATGACTTCGTAATTCACGCAGGCCCTGAAAAGATAATTAAGATATATAAGATAATTAAGATTATGAAGATGATAAAGATGATGATGATGAAGATGATGATGAAGATGATGATGAAGATGATGATGAAGACGATGATGATGATGATGATGATGAAGATGATGAGGATGATGATGAAGAAGATGATGAAGATGATGAAGAAGATGATGAAGATAATGATGAAGACGATGATGATGATGATGATGATGATGATGATGAATATGATGATGATGAAGATGATGATGATGATGAAGATGATAATGATGATGAAGATGATAATGATGATGATGATGATTATGAGATGACAATGATGATGAAGATGATAATGATGATAATGATGATGATAATGATGATGATTATGAAGATGATGAAGATGATGAAGATGATGATTATGAGATGATAATGATGATGAAGATGATGAAGATGATGAAGATGATGAAGATGATGAAGATGATGAAGATGATGAAGATGATGAAAATGATGAAGATGATGAAGATGATGAAGATGATGAAGATGATGAAGATGATGAAGATGATGAAGATAAAGAAGATGATGAAGATGATGATGAAGATGATGAAGATGATGAAAATAATTAAGATGATCGAGATGATGATGATGAAGCTGACGATGATGATGATAAAACTAACCTTAAAACTGTTACTGACTAACTGTAGTTCCGGTCCGCCATAAACATTCAACATTACAGGATACTTGACCCCTGGCAACATGCGAGGCTTGTACAACAACCCGTACAACTGCAGTACATAGCATTATAATGAATTGTACAAGTAGCATTAATTAGGAATTATCCAAAACTTGAATTTAAAATATCATTTCTTAATTTCAAATACTTTGCCAAATGAAATTTAACGGAGAAATTTGGAAAAAACGTAGTTTTAGTAATGCACAACGTAGTCAATTGTTAGGCAATTAGTCCAATAGATTATATTTTTAATAACGTAAAAGAGTACGATTTCAATTTTCCAATTTAAATAAATTAAAATATTCAGAACAGCATTACTTCCTCTCCTCCCTTTAGGCCGCCTAAAACTACGATTTATTGGCAGCAATCTGCAAATCTATCTCAATTATAAATTCATCGCTGAAAATTTTAATATTTCCGTTGTAATAAAACAGAACCTTATATAAGGGACTGTTAACGAAATTTCAAGTGAGTCTCCATTTCTAGAATGACGTGTGCGATTCTCAACAGTTTCCTGAAAAGCTTTGTCTGACCAAGAATGAGGAAGCTTTTTGAAATTTACTTATTTTCCATTTAGGTTCCATTAATGAGGTGACTCAATTAACCCCTTCTTAATCTAGAAGAACGACGATATCTTCCACATTAATGGTTTAAAGGGTACGCTCATGACTCAGACATGCCCCTATTTTTTAAATGACGGATCAATTGAAATTTCAACAACAGACCCTTTAACAACCAATCTGTTACCTCCTCTCCTGTTGAGAGTACATGGGTGAAAACCTCTGGTGGAGGATATTCTTTCTCCGGCTGGGTTGACTGTAGGAGCCAGCCTTATCAGATCAAAATTAAGTTAAAAGAATCAAGTATCAGAGGACGAATTTAGTGAATTGGTCTAAACTTGGTTTAATCTTAAATATTTTTTTTAGAAGAATTTTGTGTACAGAATAGGATACAATGTTCACTGGAAAAGTTTTAAATATTTTTTAGCGAGAAAAAAAAAATAAATGAAAATATTGTTTTTTGCTCATTGGAAGACGGCATTGAACTGTACACAGAGGAATAATAAATAACAATCTATAAATATTTTATCATTTACTTGCAGCTTTCCGCAGAACTTTGCATGCCTGGTTTTTTTAATAGATAAAAATTTCAGAATGATTTCCCACCTGCTTATATATTTTTTTATTTACCTAAAGATTGAAGATTTATTCCATTTACAGTGTTGTCTGCTTGACTAATAGAGAACACCTAAAATATTCCAAATTTTTATTTTTTCATTTTCTTTTTCTCCTCCAGCAGTGAGTTAAACAGGGTTGTTTCTTAATTTTCATTTTTACTATACTTTTAGAGAAAACGCACACCCTTTCCTTTAAACAATTTTAGATCTAATTGTTACCCTAGACGTGGCCATTTTTGACCAGTCTCAAATTTTGGCGATTTTTTGTTCTTCAAATTGGCGCATTTTCAAAAATACATTATTGTCGACATTATTTTCCGGGAAAAATTTTGAGGGTCAATAAACCTTCCCTGGGGTCATGTAAGTTGCCATAAACATTTGGTCCGGTCCGTTCAGCCGTTTTCACAACAAACAGACGTGTTTATAGATGTATGTATATAGATGATTGAACCTGACCTGACATCCTGGAAGATTATTTACACTAGAGAACACCGTTGCCATCATTTTACAGTCCGCACCTGGACAAACAATAAAATAATTTGGTGATTTCTAATAACTAGGTGATTTTAGCGCGCCCATCTTTTATTTCAACTTTTAACTGTAGCTCTATCTGTGAGAATCTTCTCATTGTACAGTAAAAAACAATAAAAAACAAAAATTTAGCGGATTTATTAATATTTTGTTGTGGACTTTCAAAATTTGACAAAAATCAACATTTTTGGAGACAACTTATTTTTACTATGAGCATTGAGCATCCTTCCCTGGGGTCACATGAGGACCCACAAAAAAATTGGGCCCGAACGGTTCAGCCGCTTTTACGTTTATTGGATACCAAAAAAAAATTTGGTCTTTTTTATTTGAAAACGCACATTTTTTAAAAATTCTTTTCTAAACTACTTCGAAATTCAAGGAAATTTCATCCGGGAAAATAAAACAGGAGTATATTTTGAGGAACTAATAATTTTCAAATTTGAGAAGGGGGGGGGGTGATTTCATGTCTTTTTTCCTTGTTCACTCCTTCCTTTTATACTAGCGAAACAAAAGATTTTAGTAGAGGGGAGAGGGGGGGGCAATTTTGCAGAACAATATTTACCCTTCAATGATTAACATTTTGTAATAACAACTTACTCATCTCCACTGAATGTGAGAAGCCCGAGGTTGTAAGTTTTCTAATTTCTCCGGGTCTTCTCAATGATACAGCGTAGAGATGAGGTTCCAGGACGGAGTGATGAAGTCCGTGGAAGTAAACCAGCTCATGCTGAGCATCAAACCACACCTTGTTACAACCAATATTAAATCTCAAGCTCAGTTTAAGGGACTGTAAACGTTATTTCAGGTGACTTTTTATTCACAACGTTACCCTTTAAAGGGACCGTTCACTTATTTGGGTTTAACATTTTTAAAGACTGATTTTTTTCAATTATGGTTTCTCTGAAAATTTACTTGTGTATTGCTTGTGAAGGAAAGCATTATAATTTTTATTTGAATTGAACACTTTTTTTAACTAGAAAACGACTTCAATTCACCACGAAAATAATTAGATAAAGATTATCGATGCCGATGTGAACAAATATTTTTAGAAGAAATTTTTAGAAATAATACCTAAACGTTAAAAAGTTACAAAAAGTCTGTCAAAGTAAAGTTTTAACTTTTTTTGGTAATTATTATGATGTTGTCGTATGGTTTACAAAAATTGAGATACAAAGAAAACTGTTTTTTTTTTATGTTAATAAAGGGGAAATACCTGTTTATTTAGAACCTCCCAGTTCCCATGTGTAAGCTGGACACGTGATATAATTCTAAAAAAAAAAATTTTTTTTTGCAAAGTGACAAAAATTAAAATATGATAAACTTAAGCATAAAAATATGTAATACTGGAAAATCTTAAGTTAAATGTGTATATGTGTAATCTTTATATTAGATGAATATGGCTTTATGAAGATGAGAGCAATAGATCAAAGGAAAAATTTGCAAAAAAAATATAAGTCCCATAAACTTGAACTAGATGTGTACCTGGGGAGTAAAGTTGAGTCTGGTGGACTAGAATCCCTCCCTCCTCTATATATGGATACTTGTACTAGATGTGTACCTGGGGAGTAAAGTTGAATCTGGCGGACTAGAATCCCTCCCTACTCTATGTATGGATACTACTACTAGATAAAGATGTCTGTAACCCGTCTCCTCACTCGCCCAAATAAATTTTAACTGAAACACAAAGATATTAACAACAATTTTAAGAAGCGCATGAAAATTGAGAAGGGGGAGTGCGTAGGTAGAAATTTCCGGAAAACTTTAAATTAATTTGAAGAGTATAAGTTTAATATAAATAAGTTTAAATTGTTAACAAGCAATTTACGAATTACAAGTTTACAAGTAAATAAAGAGACTCATTTTAATTGACAGCTTCTCTTTGTTTCCATGTTTTTGTGTATCCATGCTGTTTAAAAGCTTGATATAAATCAAAATTGAAATCGAAAGTCGTCTTTGTTATATTGATATAATCGCCTACCACTGTATTTGGGTGGGTAAGGGTAATGAACTACCTAGTATAGGTTGGAATGAACTACCTGATGAGGGTGGGAATGAACTACCTAGTATAGGTGGGAATGAACTACCTAGTATAGGTGGGAATGAACTACCGAATAAAGGTGGGAATTACAGGGTGTCCCACGAAACATGACAGTATGCAGGACGACTTGAATGTCGTCTTGATTTTTTATATAATTTGCTGCGTTTATTTTTCAACCTAATTTTAGAAGTAAATTTCTAGAGATAATAATCACAAAATTTCCCTTGTCCTGCCATTTCCAAAATGTGGTCTGCCTTTTTTGTGCTTCCAATATTGCCCGAGATATGAAGAATTTCGTTCAGATTTCGACAATTTTGCTTTTATTTAACAAAATTGAAATCTGAACCAAACTCTTTATATCTCCAGTAATATTGAAAACACAAAAAACGCAGACCACTTTTTGGAAATGCCAGGGCTAGGAGAATTATGTGATAGTTGTTTCAAGAATCATAAGAATCATACATGTTAAAGTAGATAGAAGACTAAATGTCACAAATAAATTCAAATACCAAAGACGACTTTCAAGTCGTCTTCCTATTGTCATGTTTCGTGGGACACCCTGTAACTACCTGATGAGGGTGGGAATGAACTACCTAGTATAGGTGGGAATGAACTACCTAATAAAGGTGGGAATGAACTAACAAGTATAGGTGGGAATGAACATGAACTACCTAATAAAGGTGGGAATTAACTACCTGATGAGGGTGGGAATGAACTACCTAGTATAAGTGGGAATGAACTACCTAATATAGGTGGGAATGAACTACCTGATGAGGGTGGGAATGAACTACCTGATGAGGGTTGGAATGAACTACCTAATATAGGTGGGAATGAACTAACAAGTATAGGTGGGAATGAACTACCTAATATAGGTGGGAATGAACTACCTGATGAGGGTGGGAATGAGGTAAAAAAAGAAGAATATCGTTAACGTTGACCCAGGTATCGGATTGTTCTACCGTGATAACCTGAACAAATAAATAAGTTTTGTTAAACACATGTTTTCTTTTTAAATGATGGTTGACCAATGACTGTATGCTATAATTATGATTTTATGATTTTTAAAGTATCAACGCCACCCCCCCCCACACATCCCGCTTCCCAATCTCATAACATCAAATTAAATCATAACATGGAAGGACCACCCCCCTTCTCCTGCTTCCCAATCTCATAACATCAAATTAAATCATAACATAGAAGGACCACCCCTAATTATATTTACCTGAACCGGGGCTCGCTCTTTAGAAATATCAGAACCATTTTGGCTTTGTAATTCTAAAAATATAAATATTAAATCATCATGGTTTCTGAAGTTTATCAAAGTTAAAACAGAATAAATGTTGTATTAAAAAAAACTAAAAAATAATTTGCAAAAATAAAAAAAAAACATCTTTGAGATATTAGATAACTTTTCAAGCAAAGACAAGTTATAAAATGGAACGAATTTAACCAACATAAAGGCTTTAAAAACTGGGGTGTTTTTTCTTTTAAACCCTCCCCCCCCTCTCTCATTAAAAATATTTTCCCCACAGGATTAGGTTTGTTGACATATTTTTATTTCTCGTTGAATTAGGGAAAATCAGAAAATTTTAGGGAGAAATAAATAAATTTTTGGGGGAAAGGCTCAAAAAGAACAAACCCTTGCAATTTGATGTCAAATTGGCCATAACCCCCCCCCCCCATTCCCCACTACCAAGGGCCGGGGTAGGGGGGAATAGTTCATAAAAAATACACCCCCTTTTTATAAATCTGCTCATTTAATTGCATGGTATTGTTTAGATTGAAGTTCGCTTGAAATCAAGCTTAAAGGGAATGTAAGCGTAATTTTAATTTTATTTGTATTGCAAAGCTGAAGATTGAGTGCCGGGAGACACGAGAGTACAGTGTACACTGTACTCTCTGTCCTACTGTACACTTGCACGGTGTCTTGGCAATTTTCCCGCTATATAAATAGGAATATCTACGAAATCCTTTATCAAACGAAGGTTTAAAGGGTATCATTGTAAATCAAAATGGAAGGACACTTGAAATTACGCTTACAGTCCCTTTAAAGTATTTCACACTCACCTATATTTGAATAAGTACATCTAACAAATTGATTTTTAGGAATAATAATTAGTTCCACGAAAATAATTAGATAAAGATTATCGATGCCGATGTGAACGATGATGATGATGAAGCTGACGATGATGATGATAAGAAATTTTTAATATGTGAACACTGGTGAATAAACCTCCCCCCTCCCCTCCCCAAAAAAAACAAATGTTGTACCTGTCCAAAAGCTGGACCCAGATATTTTGTCCGTCAGGGGTCCAACCAGCCCGGACTAAATACTCGTGCCAAGGAAATAAAGTTCTGAGGGATGTAACCAGCACATACTGGCTGCAGTCAAGTATCTAGAATATATTTTTACAAATCTATTTTTTAAATTTAACAAAATTCTATAAATTAGATGATATAAGATGCAAGTATTTTGACATTTCTATATTTCTAAATCTCCATTTCCTTCTAGTGTTCGTGCATCATCTATCATGTTCGGCTAATTTTTGAAAATAAAAGAAAGTATCTAAAATATTAAACAGTTCAATATCAGGAAAACAGACATGTTAAAGAGTGTGTCGCAAGATTGTATTCAAAAGCTGTTCGTAGGAGCGGAGAGAAGGCAACCCTGCAAAGTTGTGTCAGCTATCATTCATTTTATTTGATAAAATTGTAAAAATTACAAATTGTAAAAAAAAATTTAACAGTTCAAATATACCCAAAAAGATTGTCAATTTCAATGCCCCTCTTTTTTGAAGAGGGCTAAGTCCTTTCCACGACGGTTCCATTTAAACTATTTTCTGATAAAGAATGTGGAAGATATCGTCGTTACGTGTTAAAAAGTGTTTAATTCACAAGGAATCCACAAGTCTCCTCTATGATCAATCATGGATATCTCATTCATTCTTGATTAGACAAGCTTACAAATGGAAACCATTGTGAATCAGAAATGCCACTCAAAAAATGAACTAACTAGTGACTTTAAACAATTACTTTTGATTGTTTTTTCGTTTCCTGTTTATTAATGCTGGTTCGTTTTCCATAAAATTGTTTGATCATTAATAATTATTTTGTTATTTATCTATCCTTCAAAGGTTCATTTATTCCGATGCGTATATACAGGGCGAAGGGGCCATAATTAAGCACCCCCCCCGGGGAAACCCTGCATACGCCACTGAGGTTCATTTGTTTAGTATTCCATCTTCAGTAAACTTACTTCATTATTGTGCCCTAGAGTAAAATTAAGAAGTTTGAGTGTTGAGGTAGGATTCGTTGTATCGGCTCGAGGATATCTAAACTCTTCTACTTCCGGTCTAAACAAATTAAACCAAATCAACTTCCGGTCCACAATTTAGGTATAGGATTTCTTTAATCTTTAATTCCTCAATCGATTATCCTTGAAATAATCTCTGGACTTCACTTGAAGATTGATTTTTTTGTAAGGAAGATTTGTTTTTAGTAATACTTACTTCGACTCTACGGAGGAGGATGGAAAGCCTAGAATTCGAACGATTTCTACACATTTTTCGTCCAGTTCCTCGTAGAGTATTGAATAGCTTCGAGAATGTTTTGTGCTCGAGGTTTCCGGTCTCCACCAGAAACCAGTATATCTAGAATTTTGTTCTTGAGGTCTGGTTTAATGATTAGCGAGAAGCAGTGCTTAGGATCCAGTTTAATTTAATCCAGGTCATGAAAATTTCTTTTAGATTTACTGATGTTTTTTAAAAATAATAATTTCCAAATTATCTTTCTTCATTTTATTCATTTTTTTAATGATAAAACTTAATGAGCCATTCAGAGATGAGAAAGTTTTGATAATCTCTTTTTTTCTACAGTTCAGATTTGGGTTTTGAGAGCAAAAGATTTATGTTAGCAGTTTTTAGTTGATTTTTGACCCCTTGGATCAAGATCCGTGGATTCGAATATTTTTACAGATTCGGATCCAGGAACCCAAAATGCTGAGGAACCAACGGATCCGGGTCCTAAGCACTAGCGAGAAATAGTTGAACTTGAAACAGAAAAATAGTTGAACTTGAAACGGAGAAATAGTTGAACTTGAAACGGAGAAGTAGTTGAACTTGAAACGGATAAGTAGTTAGACTTGAAACGAAGAAGTAGTTAAACTTGAAACGGAGAAATAGTTGAACTTGAAACATAGAAGTAGTTAAACTTGAAACGGAATAGTAGTTGAACTTGAAACAGAGAAGTAGATAAACATGAAACGGAGAAGTAGTTGAACTTGAAACGGAGAAGTAATTAAACTTGAAAGGGAGAAGTAGTTCTTATCGCTATTTGGAAATCCGACCTCATATCAAGTCAAATAAAATTGCTTAAGGCTCCCTCATGCAAGACAGGGATTCAATTCGCCCTGCATTCAAGTTTTTCAGCCTTGATCCAAAAAATATTTGTATGGTTTTCCATTAAAATTAACGGATTAACAGTGGTGTTTCTACCAACTATTATTTTATTGCAATGACCAAATCAGCACGACCAGCTATGCTACCATTTTGTGGGACCTATCATTTGCCAGTGGACTCTAGGGTATATTATAATTCAGAATATTAGGGAGAACAACGGTTTGCAGATCTTTGCTCGCATAGCCTGTAAATGTTCAGGGATATTTATTTATCTTATTATTATTTTCAAAACTTTTTAAAAAAGTAAAAAATATTTTTACTTTTAAGGAAAGATAAACTCACCTACTAAATTCTTCTTGCATTACATAGCTTGGAAGCCCTGGGGGGAAAAAACATAAAATTAATAAAAATCTTTAAAATAAAAACTAGACTAGAATTTTATTATTCTTATCCAAATGTCAAATCTCTTCTCTCATTAATAAATACAAGTCGACTAACGCTAGCTAGACGGCTTTACCAATTTGGCTGAAATTTCTTTGGGAAACCCATGAGTACCCGAGGAGTAACATAGGCTACAAATTTTTTTTTTTTCAAGCATCCAACCTTTTCTTCAAAAATCGGATTTTTTTAAAAGTTTGATTTTTTTAATTCCACGGACAATGCCGGGCATCTTATCGAATAATAATATGAATTGACTTGTATTTATGTTTTTGTTCCTGCTGAGAGGGGATCATCAGATACCCGTTCCGCCCCGGCATTGTGACAGAAGGTCAACCTTTCCTCCTGAATAATGAATCAATCAATCAATCAATCATTCTTTAATAAATGAACTCAGTCAACCAACTAATTCAAGTTAATCTATCATTCAATCAATCAATCAATCAAAAAATAAATAAATCAATGAAACAATTAATCAACCAACTAACCAACCAATTCTATTGAATTGAATTGAATTCAATTCAATTTAATAAGCTAGAGAGTGACAAATAGCTCCTTGACCTATGGGGTGTATGCCATCACAATCCCTTCTAGGTCCAGGCTTTTTAGCCTGGCATAGTTTCCGCTTAACGTCGGACTCAGTACCAACCAACCATTCTTATGATGTATTAATATATCAATTCAATTTAGACATTTTATTTAATTATTAAATTCAATCAATCAACTAACCCATTTAATTTAATCCATCATAAATCTATCCAAACAATCAATCAGTCAATCAATTTATCAATCAATCATTCATTATTAAATTTAAAAAATCATCCAACACATTCAATTTAATCCATCAATCCAAACAATCCATACAATCCTTTCAATCATCCAACCATTCAATCAATCAATCAATAAACCACTTTCCTCTTACAGCACTTATGGGTCAAATTAAAGAGAATATGAATCAATAACTCAATCAAAAAATGACCAAATTTAAATCATTAAAAACAAATAAAATTGAAATTATTTAAACAAGTTAAACTTCTTTCTTCCAATCATTCGGTCAATTGTTCAATCAATCAATCAAAAAAATCAATTAATAAATCAAATAGCCTAACACTCAATGAATCAAACAATCAGACAATTAATCAGACAATCAATAAATTGGACAATCAATCAATCAATCAATCAATCTATCAACCAACCAGTCAACCATTCAATCAACCAATAAATCAATTAATCGATTCAATCAGCCAAAAAATGTACCTGTCTAGTTTCTAGGTTGACCAGCCAGAGATCTCCGTTGTTTACAAACACCACAAGGTCAGGATGGTGTGGACACATTGTCGCATTTAGACGAGCCCCTGTAGTTTTAGTCTGGAAACGAAATTAAATATCAAAATTCATCTATATATAAATTTGGCTTGTCTGTTTGTTTGTTTGTTTGTTAGACGAGCCCCTGTAGTTTTAGTCTGGAAACGAAAATAAGTATTAAAATTCATATTTCATATTTCTATTCAACTTCAAAGCATGAGATATTATAATTAAGCAATCATAATTTACAACCAGGTTGTTTTGAGTAGTTGGTTCAAGTAAAATTAATAACAAAATTTACACCAAAAAAAAAATATTATACTTTCATTTCCTGGTTAGTGGATTATATTTACTTTAAAATCATTTTTCCCTCCATATATTCATAAGGTTTTATTTTAAAATGTGTGAAAAAAAAATATTTCAAGAGTTGTAAAATTTATTTTGCAAACTTTTCACCAAATACAATGTAATATTAAAAGAATGGTAATGCATATAACAATCTAATACATGTAAATCATTTTTATTGTTTAAATTTAGTTAAAATTAAAAGAAGTTGTAGTTAATATGTACCTGAATTTCGTATGGGAAAACGGAATTTTGAGAGGTTGCATTGTCCATGCAGTAGTAAAGAGAACCACCTGAAATTTACTTATCTATTCATAATATATTCATTTATTTTGAAGTTTGCAACAAATAAATAGCTTTTTTAACGTAGAGAGGTAAAAAAGGATTTAAATTTAAAAACTCTAAATTACAAAACTAAATGAATTGGTTTAGGAATTCACAATGGTATCCTCTGAACATCTATCTGAGTACTAATAAGGAAGATATCGTCGTTTTTTATTTTACAAAAATTTTAAATTCTGACAATTTCTTAATACTTGATCAGACAAACTCTTTAAATGCACGGTCACTTGAAATTACGCCGATTGTCCTTTTTTCCGTCCATGACAAACTTTCTCACAAATAAAATGGTGGTTTAATGATTATAACCTGCTGGAAAGATAAATCTGCCAGATTGAAGATGAATGTCATAACTTGTAATCCCCCAGGTGCTAACCTTCTTCCTCTCCCACATCAGCTGTTCCTCTTTACTAAAACAAAACATATATTCAATTTCTGAAAACAGACCAAAGCATCAGATGCGCAACTAGGGGGTGGGGGCGGCCGGGCGCGCGCCCTCCCCTAGCACCTGAGAGGGGGGGGCGTGCCCCCCCCTGCAGAATGAAAAGAAAGAAAGAATGGCGAAAATCAGTATCACAGGAATAAGAAAACCAATAGAGTTATTGTAGAAATTTTATTATACTATAGTTAGTTTTTAAGTTGTAGTTAATATGTACCTGAATTTCGTATGGGAAAACGGAATTTTGAGAGGTTGCATTGTCCATGCAGTAGTAAAGAGAACCACCTGAAATAAAACGTATTTAAATTTAAAAACTCTAAATTACAAAAATGAATGAATTAGTTTAGGAATTCACAACGGTATCCTCTAAACATCAATCTGAGTAGTAATAAGGAAGATATCGTCGTTTTTATTTTAAAAAAAAATTTTAATTCTGACAAATTTCTAAATACTTGATCAGACAAAATCTTTAAATGCACGGTCATGCTTGAAATTCAACTGATAGTCCTTTTTTCAGTCCATGAGAAACTTTCTCAGAAACAAAATGGCGGTTTACCTGCAGGGAAGATAAATCTGCCAGATTGAAGATGAATGTCATAACTTGTAATCCCCCAGGTGCTAACCTTCTTCCTCTCCNCGTTAAGATCTTAACATACTACATTGACGACAAGAAAATTTAACAATTGCGTACAGACTAGGGATCAGATTTAATAAAAACATGTTGAAACGGGTAAACTAGGTTGAACCACTAAAGAACTGATTCAACTTAGGCTTGCAGGTTCAGCTATTTATAATCATTTGAACCTGTCCCAGGAACACATACTTTATATACTTTTGAAAATGGAAAGTATAAAAAGAAAATCAACCTCTTAGGAACGTCCTTCAACCCCATGCAAGACTTGAAGTGACAATACTAATTCAGGAATGAAGTAAAAAATTTCTGATTTGTAATGATGTTGTTTATGTTATAATTTTAAGCGGAGAAAAAAAAATTTTAAACTAGTTATACTGTTAATACTTCTTACTGCTTCCTATGGGCTTTTGATTTAATTAATTTATCATTACAGCTACGTTATTGCCGACGTTATGGCCAGATTAACAATCACAGATTCTAACCACCGATCTAAGTAGATTGTAATTGTAAAAAGATTCTTAAAGGGATTAGTGTTTGCAATAAATGAGAAGGGTATATAGGTCTTATGATAGATCCCACGTTATTGGAAAAAAAACGTTTTTAACCATTTTCTCTTTGTTAGCGTGCCCTATTTTTCAATCCGACTTTCCACAAATACCTCTCAGGCTAATATTGTTCTTTATGATGTCAGTTATCACAAGAATTTTTGTTTTTTTAGACCATTGAGAAGTGTTCGTGCAAGGCCCGTGCAGATCGCAAAAAAAGACTACATAGCTCAAAAACAATATTTCTTGAATTTATCATGTCATATATAATTTTCTTCGTAATTGTCTAAAAAGATTTAATTGACCGAGTTAGACCAAAAAACCACGTCAAAGATGCTAGTTTTAAAGAAAAGTACATTTTTGGAGGTTTTTACCCACAAACGCAGTCAATTCTTGAAATTTTTCAAAAATTTCAATGGATTAAATCTTTTTAGATAATTACGAAGAAAATTATAAATGACATGATAAATTCAAGAAATATTTTTTTGGAGCTATGTAGACTTTTTTTGTGATATGCACGGGCCTTGAACGACCACTTCCCATAGGTTAAAAAAAATATATCCTGTGAAAATTGACACCTAGAGAACAATATTAGCCTGAGTTATTTGTGATACAATATTTCTATATTTTGTTGAAAAATGGGGCACCCTACTCCGTATATAAGTAACAGATAAAAGTAAACTTAGTAGCGATAAATATCGAATTCAATTCGATATCCGCCTATACCCCCATTCTTTTTCAGCGAACACTCCATTTAAATATGAACTTTGTGATCGATTTTCCTTTTATTAACCTGATGGATGAGGGGAGGGACTGAAACCCTGCTTCAAGTAATGGGTTCCAGGTAGGAGCGGGGTGGGGGGAGGGCAGGTCAACATAGAGCAGGCTCGTGTCACGTTTAAAATAGGGTTCAGACACAAAGTACAGCCGGGTTCCATTATTTACTTTCCTAAAATACCAAGTTGTAATATATATATATAATACATGCTAAAACTTAATATTAAAACCTGAATTTAGCATAACTTTTTTTTTTCTTTCCAGGGGGCTTTCCCCCCCCTTTTTGCCCCTGGGTTTATTATTTACTGATCTTTTACAGCTTTAAGATAAAATGATGTTTAACACTAAGTATTTATTTTTAACACTTGACTTAGATCTAAAACACTAAACATTGATCTTGTAAAATAAAAAAGCTTCAAATAGTACATGAATCTGCTCTTTAACCGCTTTAATATTAGTTGATCTTTAGGTTTTAGCACATTGATCTCTTATATTTTATTACTTAAATAAATTAAGAAATTTAAAATATTAAAAAACATAAGAGGAACTTGCTTGCCTGTTCATTTCTTAAAATTAACAAAAATAAATTAAACTAATTGAAATTCTGACCAGTCCACAAAATTGTAACGTTTGATTTGTTTTTCAAAAATTATTACAGAGAAACGAAATCTTGTCTAAAAACATATTTTCAAGAGGGGAATGAATTTTTAAGAAATATATATTCCTCTACTTTTGTATTAAATAGCTATAAAAATATACAATTCAACCAAATATGGATATAAAAATATAATGTTCGAACCAGAGTAGTGTAGATTATAGAAGTAAAACAGACCTGAAAGTTATACAGCTGGGTGTTCGTAAACCTTTGCTCGAGAAATGGGACCTAAAAATATAGATTAAATTTTATCCACTTAACTTACATTAACTTTTAATATACATTGATTGAAGTGCAACAAAACTGCACGGATTTCAGAGAATCGAATTGGAAACCCGACTAACTGGATGCCCAAATAACTGGAAACCCCACTGACAGGAAACCCCACAGACAGGAAACCCTACTAACATGAAACCAAACTGACAGGAAACCAAACTGACAGGAAACCAAACTAACAGGAAACCAAACTGACAGGAAACCAAACTGACAGGAAACCAAACTGACAGGAAACCCAACTGACAGGAAACCCAACTGACAGGACACCCAACTGACAGGAAACCCAACTGAGAGGAAACCCAACTGACAGGAAACCCAACTGACAGGAAAATCAACTGACAAGACCAAACTGACAGGAAACCAAACAAACTTGAAACCCAACTCACTGGAAACCCAGTTGACTAGAAAACCCAACTGACAGGAAACCCCACTGACAGGAAACCAAACTGACAGGAAACCAAACTGACAGGAAACCTAACTGACAGGAAACCAAACTGACAGGAAAATCAACTGACAGGAAACCCAACTGACAGGATACCAAACTAACAGGAAACCGAACAAACTTGAAACTCACTGGAAACCCAACTAACTCGAAATCAAACTATCTGAAAACCCAACTGAAAGTAAACCCAAATGACTGGAAACAAAACTAACTGTAGAACCCCACTAACTAGACACCCTACTAACTAGAAACCAAACTATAAAACCCAACTAACTGGACACCCAACTAACTAGAAACCAAACTATCTAGAAACCCCTCTGACAGGAAACCCAACTAACTAGACCAAACTATCTGGAAACCCAACAAACTGGAAACCAAACTACCTAGAAATCCAACTAACTGGACAACAAACTAACTAGAAACCAATCTATCTAGAAACCCAACAAACTGGAAACCAAACTATCTAGAAACCCAACTAACTGGAAACCCAACTAACTGGAAACCCAACTAACTAGAAACCAAACTATCTAGAAACCCAACAAACTGGAAACCAAACTATCTAGAAACCCAACTAACTGGAAACCCAACTAACTGGAAACCCAACTAACTGGAAACCCAACTAACTGGAAACCAAACTATCTAGAAACCCAACCAACTGGAAACCCTACTAACTGGAAACCCAACTAACTGGAAACCCAACTAACTGGAAACCCAACTTACTAGAAACCAAACTATCTAGAAACCCGACTATCTAGAAACCAATCGGTAACTTCCTAGATTTTTGGATCCCTCCCCTCCTCCTATCAATTTGGTACATGGTTATCACTGGTCAAGTGGCCGCAGCTTACAGCCCCCTAGCCTGTCCAAGCCGCGGCGCTCGGCCACTAGCCTTTCCTAGCCACGGCGCTCGGCCCCCTTAGCCTGTCCTAGCCGCAGCGCTCAGCCCAGAAATTGTCTTCACCTAGCCTAACACTCAAATAATAAAATNTTGCTAAGAAATAAGTAGTCCTAAAAAAATTGATTATAGGAGGGGGGGGGTCCATAAATTGTTCTCTGAGACAGACCCGATCGCCAAACTTTTTTTCAAACTTTATAATTTGGAGACTAAATGTTAAAGATTAAGAAACCTGACACAGCTGACTTTTTGTTTAATTTCTGCCCAGGAATTGGCAGGTTGGGGGGGAGCTTCGGCCATCCTGAAAATAAAACTTTTTTGGGGCGAATTTTAAAGAAATGGTTGCAATTGACGGCCGGTTTTTTTTTTTGTTTTGTTTTATTAATTTAATTTCAAAATGTTTTTCTACCTGAAAATGAAGCATTAAAGCTATAAAGAGAACTCTTTTACAATTCACTAATAAACATAGCGATCATGTCTAAAAATTGGAACAAAAGTTTTTAAAAATGTTTTTTACATATATTTCTAATAATTATTTTACTTCAGATTATAACCAAAAACAACATTAAGTCCAAAATTGGCTGATTGATGAAATTTGCAATTTTTCAAGGGGTTTCTTGAAATACTGAAACTTTTATTCGAGTCTAGGATGTGCAACTTTTTTTTTGTATCCTATAACCACTTTTTGCCTTTTTTGCTTCTATGTAAACAAAGGAATTTTTTGGGTAGGTTCTAGACGGCAACAACAACAATAAAACGACAATAAAAAATATATATCTGATGAGACATTAATTGATTTGTAACGACATTTTTTATTAGTTTGTTATTAATTAAAAATGATCTAAATTCGTCGCCTTTAATGGTAAGAAAATTCTCGAACCAAAACAATCTGATTCTTTTAGTTAATGTTCGAGAGCATAAAAAATGTCCGATTCTTAATTTAAATAAATATTTTCAATTAAAACCTTTTTGTTTTGTTTTTAAATCTAAAAGTTTCAAAGTTACAACTCAAGATATTCTGGTGTCTAGTCTCGAATAAAAGGGTGCGTTCATCAAATTTCAAAAGATGGTTCGATAGACCAAATTTTGCTCAGCTTAACTAAATAAAAGTAATGGTTATATAAATTGTATTCAGTTTTGTGTCTTTCGGTCATGATTGCCCTCTGCATGGACTCTACAGTGCAAAAGAACATTTAATGTTTGTTTACAATGCAAATTAATTTAGCCAATTTCCGATTGCAAAGCAAAATTGACGTATTTTTAGTTGCAAAATACATCTGAAAAAATTATCTAGGAATAAAACTTACAAATCGATTTGTTGTCTTTGTATACCCCATGTCTGAATTTCCGAACTCTCTCCTTAGATGAGTTGTGTTCAATAGTCTAGACTCGACAATAGTCGGTCAATGTTTTGTAGTAAAGGTACACAGCAGCATCTTGTTGAAATCAGCTGAAAACAAAACTAAAGTTTAAATTTACACAATAAGATGTTTTTTATGCTAAACTATTCTGAATTTATTAAAATTATACAACTTTATCGAATTTTGAGGATTTTGAAGTGAAGTGATCAAAAATATCTTACAAATTATCCTTGCTAAATCAGTGACTAACTATAGAATTTTCGATGATTACAGAAAAATGGTTAAAATGAAAATAAAGTTTTGACGGCTATGGTCAATCAACTTGAGGTAATGATGTCGACGATATTTTTGTTACGGACATAAAAACAATATGGTAATTTCCTAATAAACGAAATTTGGACCCCCTACCTGCATCTCATATTTTACTCAGGGGTAAAGTTGCGCCCGGCCCCCTGAGCTCGGCCCATAAATTGTCCTAACCTAACTTAATCATGAAATATTACAAAATAAATATTTATTGATGAAAATAGTTGAAATCTCGGACCTAGGTCATGTACAAAATTGATAGGGGGGGGGGGGTCCAAAAATCCTATACTAGGACGGACCCAACAATGTAGCTAATGGGTCATACTATTTTGTTTTTATATACTTGCAAAAAGTTTATGTCTAATAAAATAGCATGCTGAATGTTATGTTATTGATTTAAATAATTGATTATTATTATTATTATTACCGATATTAATATATGTTCTTGATTTAAAGAATTGGTTACAATTATTATTATTATTGATATTAATGTATATGATCTTGATTTAGTTAATTGGTTATTTTTTTATTGATATAAATTTATGTTCTTCATTTAAAAAATTTTATTATTATTATTATTGATAGAAATGTATCTTCTTGTTTTTTTAATAAATTATTATTATTGTTATTGATGTAAATACACGTTTTTAATTTAGGAAGTTGGGATGGATTTGTTACTGCCTGAGGATCAGGCCAAGATGGACAAAATAATAAGCTCTCCTGACTCAGCCATAGGTTAACATTTGTTTAACGAATCGGTGCAAAGAGTTCGTATTTTTTAAAAGCTTGAAAATCATTTTTTTCATCTGTTCAGGTTTTATTCGCTGTATTAAGAAAAATTAATGCAGTTTTTAATGTAATTTATAAAAATATACAACCCTGGTTTTATTTGCTTAATTGGGAGAATTATTGACTTTTTGGGATCTAACGGTATAAAAAAAGATTAAAGTTATAAAGGGTGGGAATGGAAAATACTAAAAAAAAGATATTAAAGCGGTAATCCTAAAAAAGTTTTATTTTAGATATGACCGACGATCTATCAGGCACAAATAAAATTATGGTTCTAGACCTGCTAGACTCACTAATAGGAATAAAATGATTAAAATCACGTTTTGAACTATTCAGTAAAAATATGAATGATATTGGAAAAAGCTAAATACTTGACTTCATAGGGGGTGGGGGAGGGGTACTTAAAAACGACATTCAAATAAATCTTTTTATAAGAGACTCAAAATCATTTTATTTTCCCAGACGATGTACTGGTTCAATGTATCTCACCTCTAGAAAACTTGTTTTCTCCAGAGAAATGCGCCGAAATAATCTACTCCCCACTGGGGGAGTCGGAGAGCACCTACTCCCCAGTCTGTGAGAGCACCTACTCCCCCCGGCGGAGAAAGAAGAAGAAAAATAAGTTCTCTTCTTCTGAAAAGTGGGAACTCATGAAAGATTGTGCTCTTGTCGGCTGGAAACGTATTCTAGGCAAACATCCTTATTTTTCGTAATTATTGATATAAAAACTGGGAACTAATGTTTGTGAAGTGTTTAAAGGATCGAAGAATTAATGTTGGTTAATACTTTACGTTATTCTGGTCTAAGTGTAATTTCCATCTTGATGTGTTAAGACTAAGCTATGTAAAGATTTATTTATTTATCTGCTGGCTTTAAATTTTTTTGAAAGACATTTTAAACATTTATAGCATTTATAGATATTAAGTAAAGGGATTATTCTTTATAAAAAGATGGCAGTGTTTGATTCATAAACGTACTTTTAAAAGCTTTGTCTATCAACAATGAATAGATGTCAAGGCTTAAAATTTTTAAAAAACTGTTATTTTCAGGCTTAAAAGTTAAAAAAAATTGGTTATTTTACAGGATTCTGAAGCCCGCGCAAGCTGCAGAGGGGGCAGAGCCCCCTTTTTGGATTTTAGTAGTTAAATGGAACGTTAAGGTCCCCCTGAGTATTTTTTAATCATTTCTGAAACTGTATTTTTATTTTTTCGTTTTTCCCTTCCCTCTTCCCCCTTTTCCTTCCCTTCCCCTTTCTCTTTCCCCTTTTTCCTTCCCTTCCCCTTTTTCCCTTCCATTGTGCCCCTTTTTCCGTTCCCATTTACCCCTACCCTCTTCCCCTTTTTCCTTCCCTCTTCCTCCTTTTCTCTTCCATTTCCCCTTCTCTTTTTCCTATTTTCCTTCCCTTCCCCTTTTTTCCTTTCCTTCCCTTCCCCTTTTTTTCCTTTTTTCTTCATTTTTTTCCCCAAACCCAATGAAAGCTCAGAGGCAAACATAAAAATATACACCCCTGCATGGAGGGTAACTTGAAATTACGCTTTCAAGTTTAAGCTCCCCACCCCCCTCTCCTATCCCCATCCTGCCAACAATTTAAAGATGATTTGTACTAGCTCGTAACTCTGATGTGGATCGGGGCTGGGTTTTCAGCTTTGTTTCTCCTAATGGAGTCAGATTAAATGCTAAGGTAAAAATTGATTGATTTATCGACACTTAACAGATAAGTTAAAGGGACTTATTTGGGTAATTTCAGGAGAAACTAAATAGCCAATTCAGCAATAACTGGCCGGAGAAAAATGTTGACCGTAGGGATATATATTTTCTTAATTCTTCCACTCTTCATTCTTTACTTGTCAGTGAAAGCCTTTATGGGGACCGGGGGGGGGGGGGGAGGGGGGTAAAAAAATTAAAAAGCTTACGTGTTTCAAGTCCTATTTTTATTTTTTCTCCCTTTGCTTTCATTTCTTTCTTTAATCTTTTTATCATTGTAACTGTTATTTAACAAGTCGTGGAGTAATATATATTGGATTTTTCTTTTGATTGTGGATGGAGATAATTCAATAGTTTTTTATTGTGTTCAGGAACTTGATAAATTCTTAAAGTTGCGAAAGCTCGAAATCTCCGCCCTGTTGTTCCGTGAGGTGGAGTCGGATGAACCCACCATGAACCCTCAGGAGCCCGCCTACCCCCGTAAACATGCCCGTCTACAGTTTGCCCAACCCTTGGATAGGATTAGAGATCTGAGATTACCTAAAAAGTTAGAATTAGAAAAACGAAAGGTAAATCCTAGCTGACGAAAATTTCTATTGAAAGCATTTTAATCATATTTGTTGTGAGCCAGGGTGACTATAATGCAGTTGTATACTGTAGAGCCTTTATTTTCGAAAAACTATATTGTGCTTCTTGTGATTCTTTTCGATATTTTTTCTTTTGTTGTTTTAAAAATCAATTTTTTTTTGATTAAAATTAAGCAAAGCTGGTCAAAAACGTTAAAAGTATTTATAAGATAATTTTTTTCACGCTCAAAATTGCGTAATTTTTCTCGTTCACATAAAAAGATGACAATTGATTTAGGATAATGCGTATTTATATTTTTAAGTTCTATTAATTTTTATTTGAAGGCTAAGTTAGCACAGACAAGAATGGAGAATGCCACCAAACCTCAATTTAAAAGTATAACTGAGTTTCTGGCAAGCCTTGAGAGATCTCAGTCTCAGAATTCTAACGAGGGCAGTTGTAGCGACACATCAAGGTGGGGTCATTCTTATGTTTCCATGTTTCCATGTTTAAACCCGTAGGCGGAAACAATTTATTTTTTAACCACAATAAT